TAAAAACAGTTTGTTGAGTAGACGGAATCTTTCAAAAACATGGGGTCCGTGTAAAAGAAAAGATAATAAAAGGAGTCTTTGGTGGAGAAAAGGTTGGGAACCACTGACCTAGGATATACTGTACCATTTGTTTACAAAGTGTTAAGGAAGCTCATGATTAACCAATGACAAATAGCAAAATTATGCCATTTGTGATTTAATAGTTTTGAGTTACTAATGAAAAAAGTATTGTTGAATTGTCAAATAAGCAGCAAGCATTTACTTTTCAACAATACCAATATAAAAAAGAAAATGTTCAACACATTGTTGTAATTTGAATGCAAGATAGAAACACTGCATATAACCAAACGTTTTTATAGAGCTTTATCAAATCAATTTAAGATTTGTTTCATTTTAGAAAATTAATTTCTTGGCTTTTTCACAAAAAATTCATTGGTATAACCAGTCACTCTGATTTCTGAAAACTGTCTGAGACCAGACATTTACAAGCAAACTTTGACTTTTATTCATCTTAATCTCTAGTTACATTATTTTGATTTGTTTTTTTATGCAATCATATTGATCACTTTTTAATACTGGACCATGTACCAGTTGTGTAAAACCTGATTGATAAAATCTGGTAAAAACTGAAGCTTATACTTGGAACATGTTTGGTTGTAAAGCATAAAGCTCCACAATGAGTATCTGTGCTGTGCCCACCACAGGTAATGAAGTCTAGTATTTTAACATTATAATCCTTCAGGCTTAGCACTGATTCACCTGAGGGTTTATTTTTACTAATATCTTAGAGATATTTGCCTGTAATCCATGTTTATGTAAAGAAAATAAAAAATATAAACAACATGTGTAGATTCTGAGAATTATTTAAAGTGAAAGAATTATGAAAAGATTAAAAATATACTATTAATTTCAATAAAATTTGTTTTTTTTTTAATAGAAACATAGTAGAGGGCCAAAAACTTTCCAGTTAGTGCTAAGATAGTTTAAACTACTATTGAAATTGTACACATTGACTAACCTAATAAAAAAAAACAACAACAATCAGAATCAATGTTTAACATTACTCAAAAGTGACATTAAAACATCTATACATCAGAACTCAAACATATGGTTAAACAATACTCAACCTTGTTTTTATAAACATGTGTTGAAATCTATGTTTTAATTTTACAATCTATTTTAACGATCAATGGAGATAGGTGTTTGTACAAGAATCAACTAAATTTTTAAATTTTGATTTCAAAACAGACCTGTTCTAACGTGGGAACCTCTCCAGTCAAGAGCAGCCAAAATAAGCCCTCTGGAAGAGGTTCCCCTCCACCAGGAGTTTTAGGAAGTAATTTTCTGATTTGAGGAATAGTAAAATCACGAAATTCGATACCATCCTCAGGGTCTAGGTGAGAAGTTTCTGTAACAAGGCCTCTTATTCCTCGCATTCCTCCATAAACCTATGTACAAGTAAAAATGAATACAAGTCAGCTATAAATTAAGTTACTGTTCACAAGAAGAAAAACACACTTTGGCCAACATTTACAAATTAAGTAGTTGTAATCCATGTCAATGTAAAGCAAAATAACAGCTATTCAGAGATTTTCACAAAATAATTGCATAATAAAAACAGCAATGCATACATGGGTAAATAATGTATCAGTCTGTTGAAATACCAACTCTTAAAAACTAAGACACAGGAAGTCTATTTTTTCACTAAAGACTATCAATAACCACCCTGTAAAACAAAGTTTCATTACCAATAAGAATGGAGTTATACAAGTACTCCTCAACTTTAAACAAATTCTAAAATTAGCTGCACAAGCCTCTGGTTACGTAATAAAATGTTCTATGATTATATCATGTACTTGTTAAGAGCTGGGCAATTTAAAATATATTAAGAACAGTGATTACACTTATTGGTGTCATGTAAACTAATTGATTAATCAATATTATGATTAAGTTGTTTATTTCAAACTAGTGCTTCTGATTATTACCATTTACAATTATTACAACAGTTAAATCAACTGTCATGAAAATAATCAACTAATAAGAATTAGTGTTTCCTATTATTATTGTATTAAATTATTCCAACTACCTAAATAATCAAAACGTTGCTATTATATTTGTTCATTAAGTAAGCACTAAGCTACTTAATAGGCTATCTGTGCTCTGCCCGATATTAGCCTTATAAGTTAGTTTTTTTTTACTTCAGGTTTGTTCAACTTGGGGATTCCAGAGATGGGTTGGGGCTCATGACTCAGTGGTCTGGTTTTGATTCTCTTTGCCATCAAACTTGCTCACCCTGTTCTTTATCTGCAGACTAGTAAAGAAACAACTGTCTGGCAGCATCTGCCACCAACTTGTATACTATGAAGAATCTTCTCTTTTTCAGAAGCTTCTTAATATTGAGGTGTCTAGCTTATAGAAATGACAAGGTACATCTCATTAGTGATCTTGGTAGCATATACTCTTGCATCTTCCAAGTTAATAAACAACACTTCATTTCACACTTTTTGATAATCCCAAAGTCCCCCTTAACCCTTTAGTGATGGGCTTGGTATATATACGAGTTAAGTATTTATACTATAACTTTTAATGCAGTAATAGTATCTTCACAAAATTTGGTAGACTTTTACTAAAGATTACAAATCTTTCGTAGACAAAAAATCAGATTTTTTAATGAAGTATTTCTATTATAGATTTGTTTGTGAAAATAAAGAGTCTGTTTCATTACCAGTCCAAGTGCAAAGTGATTTTCATGTCCTAACTAAAAAACTTGTTTGTCCCAAAAATCTCAAATATTATTCATGTAATCCTTAAAACCTCCTAAATACATTTCAAGCTGTGTTTTAGTGGACTAGTATTTTATAAACTACAGTCACATTTCAATTATTATATTTGTATATACATTAATACTATTTACAAATAAGTTCTTAAACATTTTTCGTAAAACATAAAACAGTAAATTAAGAAGTAAAGCTAACAATTATCTCCTTTAGTTGCGACCTTTGTACTCGTTTGCTGCTTCTCGTAGGTTGCTATGGCTTATGAAATTTCCCACACGGATGATGTGAAAGGAAAATTTTTTTTTAGGATTTTTATATATACATATAAATAACAAAAAAAAATCACAAGTTACTATAACAATATCACAGAATTCCATTATAATTTATGAAGTTTAGTAATTAAGCTGTATTTTGGTCTAAAAAAATATGAAATTTTGAGCAGACTAAAGACACAACCTACTTCCTTGAAATCTTGTTTCTAAAGAACGAGATGGCGTCCAACACATGAAAATGGCTGAGAAAGCAACTAGGTGGACATTCTAAGCTTTTGATTGGTTAATCATGTCATATATAGAAATGTATTAAGGGAGCATTTCCAAAAATGGGAAGAGGTTTGCAGGGAGCCACTGTGCTTGATTCAGTACATGAGCGCTATCTTAGGAAATAGAAAAGATAAGAGGTTCTTATTTTATATTATAGCTTGTCAATATTGGAAGTTTGAGTTCCTAATTCATATAAAACTATAGACTTTGTATTTTGACAGCACAAACATCTAATCTGAACCATTGCTGCACTCAACATCCCAAGTGACACACAAAAATCGACGTATAACTGTGTTTTTAATATTTACTTTTAAATTAAGATATTAACTAACTTATAATACTAAAATTTGAATTATAATCTACAATTTGATACCAAACTTATTTACACAAATTAATGAAATAGTTCAATAAAATTTTTAATGTGAGTCAACAAACACGATGACATAGCCTTTCACACGTGACCCATCTGAAAAGAGTTTCTATTAAAAATAAGACTTATTAATTGAATAATAAATTTTTTCTAAATATTAAATAGTATTATGTACTACATAATAATGACAATGCTAAAGAGAGATGATAAACGTTAATGTCCTCACTATTGTCTATGGCGACATATAAAGTTTTAATGTTTTACGAGCTTAATATATTGACATAATTGTTCTCAAATTACCATCTTTCACACGAACTTTCCTTCAATTTCTTATGGTTAACAGAACTAGAATATAATCACAGGTTACCACAACTATTAAATGTTGAGATCATCTGATTATGAAGTCAGATGCTTACATTTAGGTAGGCTTAAATTCATGTGCTGTTTAAACGTATTACACTAATTAAGTTTTAAGTAATGGTGAAGATTAATAATTTGGAAGAATAAAACGAAAAATATGACACTTATCACCCTTATCTTTCAAAAAGAGTTTAGGATAGTTAACCACATAAGTAGATAGATATGAAAACACTAATAATTAAACTACTACTCTCTCTGGACAACACATAATAAAACAGGTTCAAGCTACTAGGCAAATTTCTATTTACTCTCAATAATTATTAGCTGGTAATTAAGGCTGATCAACTTACTAGTCCACTAACTTAATAATTACTACTATTAGAACTGGGTGAGTTAATTGAAATTATGATTAAACTTATGAACCAAAATTCTTATATTGATTATCACAAAAATAATAAACTAACAGAATTAAAGAAATATTGCCACCACACTTGCTTGCCCTGTCTTTGTTATGGCAAAGCTACTGTTAAAAGCCATGTGCTACTGTCATTAATATTGAATTGCTGACTAGAGAGAAAGCAACTTTTTTGATGTTGTTGAATTGCTTTCAAGATGGTTGGCAGCATCCCCCACCAACTTTTTTGTTTTGTTTTGCTTGTATGTATCATGGTTTTAGGAACACTGTACTACTCGAACGTAACTGATTAATGGGGCCATCCATTAACTGATTAGCAAATACCACTTAGTCAATTTTCCAAAGTTACATATATTACATAAGTACTGGAAGGCTATCAAACAGATCATAAAGTATGCATTTCATTATTTTGTTAAATATGTTGTGAACTTGAAATTGTTGTTAACACTTTGGTTATATTCAATTCTTCAATATTCTTCTATGTGTATAGTAATTATTTCAAAGTACTAGAAATCTGAATTCTTAAATGATTATAATTTTATATCCCCTGAACTAAACAACAAAAACATAATCAAGTACTTTTATAATTCAAATGAGATATTTAATACACTTATGTAGTAGATTTAGTAAACTTGTGTTTGTCATGGAATGGTTATTGTCATCTGTATAATTATACATCATAACAAGCACACTTTAAAAAAAACTCGGGAAAAATAAACGTACCAAGTCATCTAAGTCAGTGTTATTTCCAACACCACCAAGTCCACCCATCTGTCGCATCATCTAAAAACAAGAGATCACAATATAAGCATTATAATTTTTGCTATTTAGACAAGATCCAGGCAATTAAAAAAATGCCACAGATAAATTTCTGCTCATGTTACATTTAAAAACATAGGCTGACCATATCTTTGATAAAGAGATCACTGACTGTTGTGATACATCTAATATAAACTTGACAAATGTATCAATAAGAGCTAATATTATGTCCTGGATCAACATACTAATTCTCAAGATGAAATCTGTAATACAAAATTTAGGTGTCCAAGCTCAAAATTTGTAACCTCAGAATACTTATAATTAACAATTATTCATCGTAACACTTCAGGTGATTGTAAGTATTTCTCAATAAGTGGTTTGTTTTACTCTATTTTAACCGAAGAAAGTTACTAAAAAAAGCAGTACATTTAGAAATGCAAACTACTTAAACCCTGGATTTTTAAACACATTATTCTAAACCATTTTTGCATAAAATTGATTGTGAATCTATGATTTTGTTGGTTATAGGGTTCCAAATAACATGTAAAAAATATTAATAATACAGCTAATCTCACTAATAATTGCTTGTGTCTCCTGTATATTTTACACTAAAAATGAGTGATTTCAATAATTATTCAAAATGATGCAATATGTGGAGTCCACCAGTAGTAATAACTATAGACAAAATAAACCCTTTCTAGATAAAAAGGAAATTCATATTTACAAAACTTATGATTTATTTGATTATTAAAATCTAAACTTGTAAAAGTTAAACAACTTATATATTTTGCAGATCTCATTATACTCTGAATAAATCATATGAACACATACATCTCCCAACTCTCATAAAATCATGCCCTCCCAGAAAGATCATCCATACTTGATAGCATATTCATTAGGGTAAGCCTTTATTTTTGAAGTTTTGTTACACCATAAAAAATAAATAATTCTCATCAAATCTCACTCATATTCAATAAAAATTAAGGGTTGCTCAATGTAGTTGAAATTTTACCTTGTAGCTCACATTATATCCGAGTATTCTGAATATTCTACATTATTCTGAAAGGTTCTAGATCATTCTGGAATGTTTTAGAATATTCCAGAGAATTCCACATTATTCAGAATGTTCAAAAACATTCTATATACAAGTAAGCCATGCTGTCACTTTTTACTTCTGGAATATTCTGTATGACATTTATAGAATTTCTGTGAGGGTATATAACCA